GTCCTGCATTACCATGTGGTAGAAATGCAGCCAGTAGTATTCCGAATGTGAATTCAAGGTTTATCCATTGCGTGGCAAAGATCCAACAAGTTTTTTCGTAAAAAGTATTAAAAAAACTTTTTAAGGCAAGTTTCATTGTGATGTCTCTTCCGCTACTGAGTTTGCTTATCCATAACAGCGCACTACTTACATGTACTATTTCATTTTTAATCTTTCACCTGCTGTTATTAGCACGTTAGCACTGCGATACGAATGAAATTTTTTGGTCACCAGAATGATAAAAGCAAATTAGTATGACTGTTCTGCTCCCATTAGCGCTTGTCATATGTAAAAGTGCCAATAACGAAATCGGTTCATATAAAAAAATAAAACACTGAGATAACGAAAACTATAGCATAATGATTCACGTTGATATTGTTATCCATTGCAAGCCCAGAGGCCTCAAGGTGTGGAGTGCAAAAATTCACGTGTACCAAGGCGGACTTCCGCATTTTGTAAAACTGTACGTACGCTTTGTCGGTAATAAGCCTGAAAAAAAACGAACAAATAAGTCTTCGGTACTATCTTCAAACCTCTGCCCGGAAAATTGGATTTAAAGAAAGACGTGCTAGGAATTAGGTTTATCACACACAGTCGCCACAGCGATATACTTGATTAAATGACGAGATTGTTATCAAACTATGCCACTCCATATTTCTTTGCACTTCAGTTGAGCAAATATAAATTACAGTGCCATTTCAGATATTTGTAAAGTAGATGAACTAATCAACTTTAGACATTTGGATTACACCATAGTCTCCATCTTCAAGCTTCCATAGGGTTCGCATGGTCTCGAAGATCATGCCAGTTGACCTCAAGCCCTACTATGCATTAGCAGCAAGTGCTCCGACTCTTTTTATCTTCAAACAATCACATCAGTTGCAATACTTCTCGCTTGATTGGCAGTTTTCACTGCAGTCTCGGGAAGCTGCACTAACGTCAGCGAAAAGCGGAGTCAGTATTTAAAAGATGCCTATCCTAACTTTCACCATTTGTAACAGACTATAAAAGTACAAAACGAGTGATCGTGCGACAGACGGGCAACCTGCCACCTTCCTCATAAGAGAAGGGCTGAGAATTACGCCAACTTCACCTATTAAACTCCCGTTTTCTTTAAGGGATCAACCAATAACAGAATCGACACTAGCCATGAATCATCTGGATAATTTTTTTGAGTTTACCTCCGATTCATGTGTGTGAATGCATACGAAACGCCACTAAAACCGAATTATGTTTGATGAGTAATCCCGCTCACTCCAGCTCCAGATGAACTGTTAGGAGGGATCATAGACATTGCAGTCAAGTGCCTCCTCAGTTGCGATGACTTTAGATGACTGAATCAGTTGGGTCAAAGGTGTTTCCTTTCAGTCCAAATTACACCTCAATGGCTGTCGCAGGCGGATAATTATGAAGAGCGCGGTGGGCTCCACCCAATGGATTTATGGTTTCATTTACGGTCACTTACAAGGTTAGTATGAAAGTCCACCACTTTCAGACGGTCACTGCTTTTTTCGGGTGAACTGGCCTTCGGATCATACCACAGCTCCATGTCTTCTTTAGCTCTCTGAATACAAGTATCCAGTCCTGCCTTATGCCCTCATATCGAATGGGAAGTCTTAAAGCGCTACACTGGCGGCAACAGAATGCGAACTCGACTTTGTTACGACTCCTAACCTGGCTTCTATCATTCGTGACATACATCTGCAGCGCATATACCTTATATGGAAGGGTCTTTAGTTCATCCTTTAACAAAAGAACTAAAAATAATGCTTACCTTCGGCATGTGCCCTACGCTCATGTTCCTCTGGGAAGCTACTACAAACCGAAGAGACAACCCGTGAAACAATTTGACCTTCTCGCCTCTGAGTTTTCCACCCTACCCAAGTATATATATCAGCACAATTACTTGCGTGAATGTGTTAGATCCCCCTTCCTTTTTACTTGCCTGTTTTGGAACAATGTTCCAATGCTCGACCTTGGATACTCATGATGGTCAACAGCCATTACCGACTCTGATCCCTGTTTTTGGGCCAATAAAACATAAAAAAAACACTTAAAGCTGGCAGGAATCTTATGTACTTTACCTCCATCTCGTAGGGCCTGATGGCTGGCGCGGGTGCTGGTGAGTGCGTTCTTGTAGCCCAGATTACATAACGATGCCTTGAAAGGGGTGTACGGATGGGAGTGGTGGGAATGTTGCTCAAAAGAAGGGAAGGTCTATGTAATACTTTGTTTATTCATCCGACTCTACAAATAATATCGGCTTTTTGAAAGTTACCTTGCTTCAGGCTATGGACTGGCAAAAACTTACGTCTTTTCCTTCTCATTTAATACGAACATTGAGTCCTGCCTTGTGACTTTTGTTACCAAATAAGTTTCAAAATGATACGATACGACCCGGTAAGCTAGCCTAAGAATCATGCAAAAGCCCATCTGCCTTTCATGTCTCCCCTTTTATACCTGACCATCATGCATACTTTTGATCGCAATGAAGTTTTAATAAATACTACTATTTTGGAGCCTAGCCTTCCGCGTAATTCTATAACCCCATTGATCATCTACACGCCTTTGGTAAAACACAGCATATCAAACGATCACAGAATTGAAAAACAAGAATGCATTTCTGATGAACTTATTGTTTGGCTTGTAATCCATAGTCATGCCTACAACATCAGACACGAACGCAAAACGTCGGTTAGGGATCTAAATAGCCGTTTCTAAGTCCTTCATATGCTACTATTTTTCAAGCAAAAAAAATGCATTTCGGATAGATGAATACTTATAATGGCTACCGACAAGCTCGTTCAAGGAACAATAGCTGATTGCGTACTTGGGTGATTGGGAGTTTTGCACGTTATACTCAATCTGAAAGAGTAACTCGCGAACACAAACGGGATTAATGCTTGTAAAGTTTACAATGGACTCATTTTGCCACAGCCAATCAATAGAGGTGGGATCCGAAGATTTTGATGGGGCATGTCAAATACATCCAGTAGAAATATCCTAGTGATTAATGAGCGATTATACGGGAGCGATCAAAGGTTCCGGTCCCGCGATTTCTTGACATCAATTTACGTAAAACAGTTTAAATACCGTTATGACAACCAGAGCAGCTACTATATGAGGCGAAAACAAGTTCTGCTGTTAGTGAGCTATTTGGGAAGCGGGTAACTCAAAAGGTTAGCGGTCTCGTTCGCCTGTTCTGCGTGAGTTCTGCTTCAAGTCATAGTTTGGGTTTCGTGCTTCAATATCCAAGCCCACAAAGTCACTTATTTATCGCACCGATCGCTGACTACAAATCAATTGTTAGATTGAAGTTCAGACGCTTGCTTTTGTCGGTGCTAACTCGGTTGGACTATTCTTCGATTTTATTTAGGCACTCTATATGCTACCAATGGTTTTTTCATTGAAAATCTATTTATGTGCACTTTTTAGTCGAGGAAAGTTAGGTAAACAGTGTTTTCTGTCTCGGCACAAGGAACGTGCGTGTCTTTCTGGATACAAAGCTTTGAAGTACGACAAGTTATTTCATATTGGAATCATCATGCATCCTTCCTGATTGCAATATTTTTTTTCAGTGACCAGTTGTTTTAAGAGATTAATTATTTTCACAGATTTGCGGTGTATAGTATGTCTAAGAGGATCGAAGTGTAAATAGATGAGTTTGCATTCCCTTACGTTTAAGCATGTCGGTTTTCAAGGATGCCTTCTTATTTTTTGGTGGAGATTTAAGTCCATCCGTCGTTGCATTATGCCTCCTATTTCAGATTAGAACTCAAGTTGAACACGATTACTTGGTGTATCGCCGATGCAGTGATTTATTCTATGGATCTAAACACAGGAAAATATAAGTTGCTTAGTTTAACAGTGCACGGTGGTTTTCCTACCTAAATTCCACCTTTTTCTTATGGCTTTTGAAGTAATTTGGCTAATCCGTACCATGAATGCTTTTACTACGGTGACATCGAGAAGGGGTTTCATTCCGAGATAATTTTCACTATGCACATTTATCTTGAAGCGGACATATAATCCTTGAAACCCATCTATTAATGCTTGTTTGAGTTTCTTCCATTGTGAACTAGTCTTTTATTACAGTAGTCTCATTTCGTAAAACGAATTAATAACTTGTCTTGTTTGATTCCGAAAAATGGTCACTTTGAAATGGGAATTAAGTTACAGGTTGGTCTTGTTGAACCTCTGGATAATGACTGAAAACATCATTCTATATTTATTACCGAAATGTTATTAAGTTCGCGTTTGTTCAATGCGTCAAGTGATTTTTCTAGACAGATATTCTCTGTTGTAACAAGTTCATATGCTTTTACCGTGAATTTATGCGAGTTGACATGATCCGTAGTTTGGTACATAAAGTTTTGTGCGATGTCATTGTTTTGATTGTTGCATCGTGTAAAACGCATGGTACTTTATTTTCACTAAACTATTTATGCTATGCGAGGATACGCAATGAAAGTGTTTTCTGTTGAATCAACAAGGAATCGTCCACATTGTTTACATTAACCTTATCATTCCCTCTTCCAGTTTTGTTGACCGGAATTGTGGCTGGCTTTTACGTGTATTTTTTTACTAAATCAGGAAATCAAATTTAAGTAAGTGATGTGACCGTGGGTAGTGGTGAAGGCAGCAATGCACGACAAATAATTCCGAAGTATTTTGTGGAAAACATAATTGCTTCTGGAACATTTTGTCTTCCATTTTTATTTTTCTTTTTAACTTATCCGGTAAATAACAGTATAGCACATGGTTCTAGGGGAAAATGGAGGTTTTATAGTTCCCTTTTTTTAGGAATCCCTATTTCGGCCTCTTGAATTTACGCATTACTGTTAAATAAAGTGGAAGCTTTATCAAAATTGTATTTGAGTCATTGTATGGTCATTAAAGTTGATATTCATGTTGGAATGCATAATAAGTATGGACCTTTGTTCGCAAGGTTTCTCTTACTCATGGAGGAGATGAAGCAAATGGTTGAGAAATTTGAGAGTGAGTTCGATGCCTTTGAAAAACGCTATGAGCAATGCATTGAACTCTCCGAAAAGATAAAGGCAGACAAAAACGCTTGCAAACGTGACATCAAGCACTACAAAATGTACATCAGGATGCTTCGATCCAAGCTCTCTCAGTAAGGACGTGTGGGCATGTTTATACTTTTGTGCATTCATAAGTTTGGTCAATATTTATATGTGGTTTAAGATGTGCACTCCGTGGAACTTGAATGTTGCAGCCATAATGGACTAATTAGCTTCAGATCGCGATAGAAAAATATATATGGTCATAATTTCCTTAATTCATAACCTTGTAGGCTCGAATCATCTCCTAGCGTACATGACCAAGGGGAGATAGCTGTGATGAAGAATAGTTTTGAAGACAAGGTTCACGTTCTTCGAGATATGGAAGACTGCCTCCCCAAACAGAACGGGTATGTGTCATTGTGAATGAGCTTAACGAAATTGGTGATAGGCTATATTTGAGAATTATCCTTGGAACCGTGGACGTTTCCTTCACGAGTAAGCAGGATAAATTTGAATACAAAAACAACTACGAGAATTTCAAGATCACTGTCTCTGCTATCATTAGCATCTACGCTCTCTTCCTTTACTTCTTCAATCAGTACAGGTAATTTTCAAACAAACTAATGGAAGCTGTGTCATGTAATTTCAGTATTTATGAGGCTTGTTTTTGGCATTCGTATGCTTTTCTTTTCCACTAGTTCCAGGAATATGTGCATCGCCTCCAACTAAAGCTTAATTTTTTTGGGTCTGACGCATTGTCACTAAAGCCTTTTTGCTACGATGCCTTGAGTGGACTAGTTTTAACTTGCGGAAATAATGACATTCACGATTTGCTTGGTTTTACCAGCCTGATTTGCCTATCAGCATTCATTCATAAGAAACAGCCTCATTTACCTTCAACCAGTAATGCACTTGTTCCCATTAAAAGGCACTTTTATTTGTTTTCTAGCATATTGGATTCAATAATCCATCTTCTCATTGTTTGGTACTACTGCACTTTGACTATCCGTGAGCGCATCCTTATGCAAAATGGGTCTCGTATTAAAGGTTGGTGGGCCATGTATCATTTCATTCTCACTGCTGAGGCGGCTGTCATGCTTATCTGGTATGTTGCAAAGCCTTTTCGATGCATCATTCCATCGATATTTATGTCTTGACCACGTCTCATACGAGCGGTTGCATAATGTTTTTGTTAAACG